TTCCTTCACATTCCTCTCCAAAGACAATCATAATTCTGAAATTCTACAGTATTTCTCCTTGCTTCCTTCAATTTTAGGTTGTTTTTTTTTTTTTTTTTTTTAGTCCAGAGGAGACTTTAAATGATAGGGGCAATTAAACACTGTCCTTTAGGAATTATTTATCCAAAGAAAATTCAGATACAAATGCAAGTCACTTAGTGCTTCAGGACTGTGTTGCAAATATCCCTTAAACTCTTAAAGCATAGAGTTTGGGAAGATGAAAGTCACCTGTATGTTCATTGTTTGCTTCAGCCCACCATCCACAGTTTCTAAACAATTTGGATTTTCATCATTCTGCAAATGAAACTTCCTTCAGAAAACCTGCCAAAACCAAACTATAGTGCATGAGCACGAGATTAGTATAGTTGATATCCACTGTTTTAAATTATCTTCAGTGACATTGCAAGTAGCCTTTTGTGTGCAAAGGAATATATAAGCCCAAGGCAGAGAAGCTCTTTGAGACAGATGAGCAGAATTTTGAACAGTTGGAGCAGAAGCCGTGGGTAACACCCTGATGAGAGAAATTAGAACATGCATGCCTGAGTAATTTCTCCTGTGAAATGAAGAATAAAGAAGAGCCAGAGGAGAGTGGAAGTATAGCACAATTCCAGAATGACCAAAGCAGGAATTTTTAAAAATAAAACCAGTTATTCTGATTAGTATAATACAGTGTGTTGACATACAAAGCAACTGTGAGGTTTACTGCTATCCTGTGATTAAGCAAAACGGGTCAGAATGATTCTGAGCTTGCTGGCTGCTCTGCTTTAGCAGGACTGGGCTCTGCTTTAGCAGGACTGGGATCTGCTGCTCAGCTGCTTGGGACAGTGGGGCTGAGGGAATGGTCCCACTCAGCCACTGGTGTGGCTGTCAAGCCCTGGGCACTGGTTCAGTCAGGCTGGCTTCTTCCAAGCTGCCAAAATCTGTGAGGATAGTGGGCTGCTCATTTATTTTGCATCCAGATCTGAGGGCAGAGAAGTGACACTTGTAGTATCTCCAGTTGTGTTTCATAGTGTGACATCCCTCCCAGTGTCACTGTTGGTTTCAGTTCTGGACTTGCAGCAGGAGAGACCTGTGCTGGTTTAAGTGTCAGGTAGCTGAAGTGCACACATCAAGTGTATGTGCTAAGCCACGTTATCTATCTGCTCTGCATATCAAACAGAAATGATATTTTGTTTGTACATGATTATTTTTTAATTGATTGCCAGACATGCAGCGAGATTCATACTCCAGAACATCTTATGTAAAGGAGCTTGAGGATTCCTGAGTTTCACATTTAGACCCCACAAGTTGTGCTACAAAATAAAATAAGTTGTGATCTAACTAAGAAAGTAATGTAATGCATTATGTTCCATAGTATTTGTTCCTCACAAAAGCTGTGACTTTTCACCTAAGAGACTTGAGTCTCGCAGTCTTGTGTTCCTCATGGGGCTATTCAGTGATGTTACCATGGGAAGTCATTCTTGTGATTACAACTTTTGCAGCCATAGTTTATTTTTTAATGATGCATCACCGTCCCTTTCAGTGGGACATGAAATTAAATGGAGCAACTTCTCTATAATTCTGTTCTCCCTGTGAAATTCTGATGGAATCAGCTTACCAGACTTGAAAACAGGTGTGATGCAGGTAGAACTTTGTTTTAAAACCTGTTTAGAGAAAGTGTCAGAAAGCTTTTTATTTTACTTTTCCCCATATGTTAAGATTTTCTTAAGTACAGTTCAAAGATCCACTTGTTTACTCTGTTTGCTTTAACAAAAATGGTAAACTAATGCTCTTATGCATGCCAAAGAATTCTCTCCATGCATCCTAAGTATGCTTCAAATATGCTTCGGTATAACTATAAAGCCAAATGAAATATATTTCAATAGTGAAATCAGGTTTATTACAGTGTAATTTTCTTCTATAAACAAGTCTCCTTTTAAGGACTTTAATCTGAAATTACTGATGAATGTAATAGTATTAAATAATTAAATAATGAAATACTGTTATGATGCCAAAAAGAATATATCAGTCTCTTTGATCTTCATTTTGGCTAAATATAGAAAATTTCACTAGAGACTTCTGTAAACAGACTCCATTAATCCTAACACATTGTTTTGAAAAACAGCAACTATAATAAATGTTGATTAAGACAGTGAATAACCTTGAGTTTTAATTTTCAATACAGCATGAGTTAACTCCACATTAATTGGAGTCACACCTCTAAGTCATGTTGTACTGCTCTGAAATCCACGTGTGCCTACTTCTGTTTGTTTTGGCTTTAATTAATCATTCCCTTACTTCTTGGCAGCAGCCTGTTATTGGGCAGAGAAATACGGATCCAGGTGTAGTCTTGAGCCCCTGTAGCTTCTGCCTGCCTTCTGCACACCACAGCTCTGTGCAGCACAGGAGGTCCTGGCAGCAGGAGTCTTGCAGCAGATGAAACACAGATATGTCTGAACTATTTCCAACTGGAGTGCTGATGAGAACTCTCTCTAGTAGTCTTTAAGCCTTTCTTCTGTCATTGAAAAAGTTCAGATTTCATTATTTTCTACATGTGCAGTGTTTACTAACATTCTGTGTGTGGGCGTTTGTGTGTTTGCAGGTAGCTTGATTTTTTGTTTCGCCACTGAGCTTTTCATGACTATCTCAGAATAAGAAGGATCCCATTCAAAGAAATGCAGACATCTGTTATTTATGTTTAGAAAAAGAAATACATCTGGTTCTGACAACACATCATTATTTTATGTGCTTCTAAAGAATGCAGCAGTTGATACAATTATCTGGATTCAGAGTGTCAGTGGAGTTAATAAAGACCAGTGCCCTGAGAACTCAGTGTGTGTATGGCTTGGCTCTCTGTGCACTTTAGGGACCTCTTTTCTGATTGCCTTGTTCTTTCAAAGTTCTCTGATGAGACGGAGGCAACAATTAACTCCCATAAAGCATGAGCCCAGGAGCAGCTGGGCCCACTAATGGTGGACAGTATGGATTTGTGCTGTGCCATGCATGAATTTCTCCCCAGGGATACTCCCTTGATCATCCCAGCATGTCTCAGTCCGCTCAGACAGCACAGTGTTGCTCCTCGTGGCTTCAGTGCATGTGGGCATTCAGTCCTTGCTGAAAACGCTGCCCCAGAGCAGTGTTTCATGTGCCTTGTGGTTGTAAACAGTCTTCTCCAGCTAGTCCAGAGGAGCAGAGGCAGAAATGGGGCTGTTTCTTGATCAGTTCCCCATTGCGTAGCCCCTAAAGACAGTCCTGACTCCCAGGTCTTCCTGTAAGCTGGTTCACCGAATTACAGTTGAAAAATAATTTCTATTTTCAGGAGTTTAATTATTGAGGGTTTGCCCATTTTCCTTGTTGCTTTTGGTTTTGAAAGCTAGATTAATGGTCAAGCATGTGGAAACTAAATTAGCGATTCAGTACATGTGACTGGCAGTGAGGACAGAGTGAACTTGGTCATTGGAGTGCTCAACTTGTCCTTTTTCACCTACTTCTCACCTGAATCCAGTACTTACACTGGGAAGATAACTGTGAGAAAGTTTAAATGCCAACACATGGAATAGCAGTGAAGAATAGAACTGGCTGAGAAGCTGAAGGCAGAGGAGTCAGTGTAGTTTAAGTTGTAAGTGGTGGTTTGGAATGTGCACATTAACTCCAGGATGTAAGCTTCCAAGGAAAAGCAAGAAAGCAGCTGTAGGAGGAGGTGAGAGATGTCCTCTGTCAGGGGAGTCTTTTATCTTAGCTTTATCTATCTAGAGAGTAATGGCAATGGCCACCCCAAGCTGCCAGGCTTTTGTGACTGTTCCCCTAACTTGAGGGGTGGAGGGAGAGAAGGTTGTGTTGTTCATAACACTGCAATATTGGAAGAACTTAACACAGGTGGTTTGAGTTCTTTGCCTGCTCTGACTCTGTTAAACACAACTGTCAGATAGTTTAATCAGTGTTGTTGACACCTGTATACAGCTTCCAGTTATTAACATTTGATTTATTTAAGTGTGTGTGCAGTAGGGAAGTATTAGATTCCCCATCTCAACTAAGGGCCTGGTCTTAATAAATTGCTCTCTTCTGGTGGCCCCTCAGAGCTTTAATGAAAGATGCAGTTGTACTTGGTAACTAGAAACAATACATTCTTAAAAGATAACTAGCTATTACTATAATGGTCATTGCAGGAAACAAATGAAATTAATTTAGTTACTCTGTGGCTGGAATTACATTATTAGTCAAGTTGATGATGTGTTTCTGGTACTACAGAAGCAGAGAAATTTGTAGCACTGTATGAGGACATTTATATTTCAGCTCTCATTACAGGCTAGCTAAACATAACTTACTGACAATGAAAAGCACATGTAATATGGTAAATTATATATGGGTTAACTGTCTGTCAGTCACTTATTCTCTGAGCAACTGCTGCTGCATGTGTACTACGTATTTCCTGGGGTTATGGGGGGAGAGTACATTTTTAGTTTATGTGACTTCCATAAGCAGGAAAAGAAGCAGTTTTTCGAGCTCTAGTACTGGCACAGTTACTGTCAACTTTTGCAAGTGTGGTACTGAATACAGACTGCTGCCTGAAACTCCCTGCCTGGTGCCAAGGGGCTGACTAGGAAGTGTTTTTGTGAAGTGTGTACTCAGAGCTACAGCTGCGTTCATGGTTGAAGACTGAACCATTTCTGTGTTACGCTGGCATTAAAATAGAGTGTGACTTTCAATGTGAATTGAAGGCACTTGGATTTAGATTTCCTTCCATGCTTTTAGCAAATCAAGTGCAATATTGACGTGTTGGCATAAGAAGCTAATGTGGAAATAAATGCTACAAAGTGTTGTAAATGTGGATTTTTTTTTTTAATTGCATGTTGCTCTAAAATTGCCCCTTAATGAAATTGGGAACTAGGAACTTAAAATATTTTTTGTTAGAATAGTGCTATTTCATTTGCATATGGGGTTTTTTCTGACTCTTTGTTCTCTCCTTTTTATTTTTTTCTTAGTCTTCATGAAGAAATCATTGACTTTTATAAGTATATGTCTCCCAGACCTGAAGAAGAGACAATGCGGATGGAAGTGGTGAACAGAATAGAAAATGTTATCAAAGAGCTCTGGCCTAATGCAGATGTGAGTAGGACACTGTTTTATTTGTCAATATGTAAAAGCAATATTTTGTACCTATTTACTTTATGGAGCATTGAATATTGAAAATGCTGTTTATTTTTCCATGTTAAACATAAAAAGACTTCTGTTGAAATGAGTGGGGTCATCTTTCTTACTCAAATAATAGGGGGTAAAGTTTTCTATCATACATAGGATCAAAGACAAGTTAGTCTTTCTGTAGTCAGTGAGAAGGCATAAGGGGTGGCAGTGTTCAGTCTCATGAATATTTATTTGATAAGATGAATGGGAACTATCATACATGTTGTGTTTAAAACCTGTTGTGTGTAAAAAAATCTTCTGAAACTCCTATCTGTAGTAGTACGGCTTTTAGTTGTAAGACCTGTGATCTTGAATAAATCTGTCAAGGTGGTGTACCAGCAATGTCACATTACGTAGACCATGGTATTTTTATTGGGCAGTTATACTAAACTGATATAATTTGCAAATTCGAAAAAACTCAGGAGTCTGTGTTTAGGAAGAAACAAATCTGTAGATCTGTGTGCTGAGCTGTGTAATGCCTCTTTCCACTGAATATGGGTTTTTGCTAGTTACACACTCAGTCAAAACAAGAATTGCTCCTATGCATAGGTGTTTTTTTGGTTTTTTTTTTTTCTTTTTTGATAAAGGTTAGATTAAAAAGAAGACAGAGAAGTTGCATTTATAAGTCAGTATGGTTTTATGGGGACACAGTTGTGCTTCTGGCATAATTGAATCTAGTTTAATTATATTCTTCTACTAATATTGTGTTCATTTCCAGAATGCAAATTTCTAGCTGTAGCCATCTATTTGTAGATAACAGTAGCTGAAAATAAGGGCTTGTTAGCCAGAATAGCAAACCAGATTCAGACAGCAGAATCTCTAGTATAAGGAATGTTCTTTGATCCTGCTCCAGTAAAAGACAGTGTTTTGACATGAGTGACTTAAATCCACTGTTCATTTCAAATCTTCTTAACCTGTTTTTTGGAATGCCTTTTTAGAAATAGGCAGAATACGACAGAATGTGAATTCTGTAGAAGCTCTATGCATGCGAATGTGTGGGTTTGTGTGTAAAATATACTCACATTTTCCAAGTGGTTATTGTTACGGATGATGTATCAGAGTGTCGTATGGAAGGAGCGCTCTCCACTCGGTGATCGCTGCCTTTGCACAGCTGGAGGGAGGTGTTTGAGTCATTACCCCACGTATCTGGCAATTTTCTCTTTGAGCAAACACAGTAACCTTTCCATGGGAACTGTGTAAGAGAGCAGCATGTGCCACAGGTGTTGCACAGCTCTCCTCTCACCCAGTGAAACAGTCAGGTGGACCCTAATCAAGAGCAGGAGTATTGTCTGACAGGCAATAGGGTAGGGAGCAGTGTGGGTGCCACACCCTGACAGTGCCTTGGAGGAGAGGATTTCACCAAAAACACTGATGGCTTCAGTCTAGAGATGTTACGATTTCCTAGGCAAGTTTGTGTGCTGCAAACTTAACTAGTCTAATGGGGTGAATGGATTTATTACCAGGGGATCTCTCTGTTACCACTAGCACTAGGAATGGGGCACAAGAGCATACTGCTTCCAGAGGTACTCTGTGGGACAGTCTTGATCTGTAAAAGTCTTTTATATTAACTTTGTATATACATATATAATATACACATGTGTGTGTGTATATGTATAACTTTGCATCCTTGAGAAAATAGTCCTTCTTTAAGCTGCTGAAAGTTTTCTGTGACAACCAGGTATTTAAGGAGGGGAAGCAAATTACAAGTCCTACCACAAAGTGTCAGCTGACCACTGGGCTTAGCTGTAATGTGACTGAGAGGAAGCACACACTGTGTAGTTGAAAAACCAAAGTTCACTTCTCAGCTAATGCCAGTTAAATCTGCCAGGACTGTCTTTCTCCACTGTGCTTGAAAATGTTGGAGAGTGAGAGCGTGCCAGTTCCTTTTTCTCAAGTCAGTAACTATTCTTCAAAGTCAAACTGCATTTTATCTGCAGTTGTTACGTTGAGGAAGAATACTCCTTTTGTATGTTCTTCCGTTTTCTGGAGGCTAGCAGGGAACTGAATGGTGACAACAGCATTACTGTAGTGTTACTTTTCTAAAACGTATTTTGCCAGATCAGTTTGGGAACTGAACTGCTGAACTCTACTGTGTTCGACTTGGACAGTCTCTTGTAATCTTTCAGTCCTTTGAGTTAATCAATAACCTTTTGACAATCTGTGTTGGTTTAGCTACTTCTAAGATTCAGGTTTTGAGTACATGCTCTGAGAAGGTGGAGTGTTACCTGGTCCAATGTCCTCAGCTCTAGCTGTAGTGTAAAGTGATGAGTTAATGTTTAAGCTGTTCATTTTGAGTCGTTGATACAGCCAAACAAGTTTAAATAAACTTGGAAGTTAAACATACACATTTAGCTTGTAGTTTCTCACTAAGCACATAGGTAAGACATAAAATATATATATAAATACATAAAAATTAGATATTAAGAAAATAAAAATAAGGCTTCATGAATTTGAATATACAGAGAATGTACATGTGGAATGTGTCTGAGTACATCTTTATCCTCTCCCCTGTTCCACTTAGAAAAAGGCTGAAAAAGCAGATGGGGGGGGTGGGGTGGGGTGTAAAACTAGGTATCCTAAACTGTTACTTTATATATAGAAGTTAGCAATTGTGTCATTTGCTCTCTTGCTTAAGGGAATGTGCTTAGAAGGAAACATTCCTCGTAAGTGAGAGCTGTTCTTGGCATCAGCAGGGCTCTGACCATAAGAAACACTTTAATTATGCTGAAACCAAACAACCCAAAACATTTAAATGAAAACTTCGTAAGACAAAGATTTTTGACCAGTTCAGTAGGAAAATTTGGCTATTAAACAAATAAGTACTTACGCAGTCTAATTTAGGATACATTTGTTATTATATTCTCAGCTTCATGTCCATGTGACCACGAGGGAATGTTATATACTTCACACACTTCAGTTATGAAAATACTATGATTGGGAATGAAGGTAGAAAGATGAACTCTATTTAGTTCGATAAACTTCAGAAAATTCTACTGAAAGATGTAGAAGAAAGGGAAATTAAATTGACTGTGGGTGGATTTTTTGTTGTTTTGACAGAGGGGTTTTGGTACCAGAAATTTACCATTTGTGTGTTTCCAAGTTCTGTTGTGCTTAGTGAGCATGTATTTGGACACATACTGTAATTAAAGCTCCTTCAGGATCTCTGGAATTTAATATAAAGAAGTGCACAGAAATGTGGGATAAACAGTAACAATAACGTAGAGGAGTAGAATCATTACACTACTGTGAAGACTGAAGTTATCTTATGAGTGCAAATACAGATCTCTGTCCACAAGCAATAAAAACATGATCAGCAGCATTGGCACACCACAAAAACTAATGCTCATGTCTCAAGCCATAATAGTATTCTGTTTTAGGATGCTTTCAATGCATGCATGGCTACAGCACTTCAACAATATAAATTCCAAATCAATAATAAATCAAAATCCTTGAAAATTTGTGTTCTGATTTCTCCACTCTTCCTCTTTTGTCTTTCCAGTTTTTGTGAGAGGGTGGTTGAAGTGTGGGTGTGAGTTTCTTTTTTAATAGCTCAGTGTTTCTCATACTCCAAATTATTGTACAAGAGCAGATGTTGTCTCATTCCTTTTGGTAAAGGTCATATATGTTGTATCAGTAAGTTTATGAATACTTCCAGGGTTGTTTATTCAGTAAAGGCTCTCTTTGCTGTTCAGCTGAACACACTATTTTGTTTGATAATGTGAAAGCACATTTCGTTTTTTCTGAACCCATCAGTGGCTGTTTCATTGTGCAAAAGCACTTTTCTGGTACTTTTGGTGCCTAGATGAATCCTGGTTTGACTGAACCCAGTTTCATAGAGGATACTTTTATTACTACCCTGGATAAACATAGTGATAATTATTATTATTACATTCTTAGCTTTGTAATGCCTTTATGCTTTTGTGCAATATTGATGTTCATGCTGTGGTACCTCTCACAGTCTTTGCCAGTCTGAGAACCTGTGAACTTTCAGTATTAAATTGTGTATGTACTTTTTATTGGGTGTGGGGTGAGGGGCCAAGAGGAATTAAGTGATAAAAAATAATCAGGACAAAGCACTCAAACTGCTTCTTAGTCTACTAAAGTATTAAGGCATTTGCAAAATATCTTTTCCTGTCTCTCCCTTTTTCTTATCCTGAAGGGGAAAAACATAAAAAGTGGGTCACTGGACATACAAATAGGTGGCAGTCAAGCTGGTGTATGAGACTCATTAAAGCAGAATACTCAAGTCTGTATAAGGTGGCTCCAGGAAGCACATCAGAAGAATGGCTGAAAATTAGCCCAAATGTGTAGATATTTTTTACTTTGAAGTCTCCCCAGCCTCCCTTTGAGACTCAGCACATGAGTCCAACCTCCCTGCAAGGCTTGGCTAAGTAATGAGAGTGTGGTTTTGGACAGCTTACAGGGGAAACCTGATGATTTACACCTCCAGTGCTAGTAGAAATCCAGTAGAAATTCTGTGGGATCTGAAGCTTTATGCAGCTTCCATTTGTTGTTTAAGCAGAAATAGACAGAGCTGTGCTACTTGCTTTGTAATGCAGAAAAAAAATGGGGCATGACAGAATTGATTTTTTTTTTTAAAGTATGCAAAGCAATGGAAATACGTGTAATTTGAAAATGCTTAAATACTGAGAGGTACTTAGAGATATGAAAACAAAAAGCAAGCTAAACTGATACTGCTTTTCTTAAATGTTCTGTCATCATTAAGCAGTTTGAAATCTTGGATTCTGGGTTTTTGACAAATTTGGTCATGGGAGCAATTTTTACATTGAAAAGCAGTGTTTATTATAAAAGTCAAAGCTATTAGTGTTTTATGAGTAAAAATAGTCAGGATCAGCTGTTTGTAGTACATTGAAGTATATTGTTGTACATTAACAAAAGTGTTCAGTGCCTGTTAGCAATACCAAAATCTACCAATGGAGGGTAGCAATAGCCAGTCTTTACAAGCAACTTAATAAACTTTGTCTTCTGAAGCCTGAAAAATTTCTTAATTCATCCTATATGTTTTCTTATATATCCTTTTCTTGTGTTTCAGGTGCAGATATTTGGAAGTTTTAAAACTGGTTTATATTTACCTACAAGGTTAGTAATTTTTCAGTGTAAATTCCACACAAAAGAAAAGTAGCTTGTTGGACCTGTAACCCTGGGGTTATTTATCTGCTCTCCCAGGATCTGTGTTAGTGTCAATACTTGTTATGCTAAGAAAGTGTTAAGCTATTAGCTCTCCACAAAGTGTACAGAAATGCAATAAATAAGACTATTGACTGTAACACATGTCTGTATAGATCTTGCATGTATCAGTAGAAGGTTCTGAATTACCATGTGGTCAGAAAAGGCTTATGTTGAGATTTGGCTTTATTAATACAAAAATAAGATGTTGGCCCTAAAAGAAAAGCTAAATTTTACCTCCACAAATGACTAAATTGAAACCTTTGCCATAACGTTGTTAATATTAGCACTGAAGAGAAAATTTTACGTACAGAATTGTTTTTCTTTCAGTCTTCTTTTGTGAAATCTGTACAAAGTCAACATCTACCTTTTCCAAATCTATTGCTAGTTTTCATAAGGAGTCTTTAATCAGTGACACTGTATCTTCTGTAGAAATTGTGAGTATTTATGACAACTAAATAAAAATTGAGTCAAAAGTTTAAATGGCTGTAGGGATAAACACATTTAAATAGCATAAATCTGAGGATAACTTTTGAACTGAGTTCCATACTTTGGGAACAGGAGGACATCTAATACTCACTGCAGATGAGGGATATCCTCATGGTTTCATCTCTATTTGTGAAAGAAAGAACCTGACAGATACTTTAGTACCTGCTTTAGTTTCAGGAGTTGTAAGGAAATCTAATTTCTCAGTTTTTGTTTGTAAAGCCAGAAGTGAGATGTACAAATACGCATTGTTTTCACATTTGGCCTCATTCCTGGTCTTTTTAAAATTTATTTTAAATCAGGTTAATTAAATTTGATTTGATGCTGGTAATGCTGGAGCAATATTCCTGGCCAATTGATGGATACTTTACTATATTTGCTTGATGTTTTGAAACAGATATAATATACTGTCATATATTTGTCATATATTGCCTTTATTGAGTATTTGTTTCAGGTAAGGTTTTGGAGGAGAAAAAATGCAGATACTTCAAATACAGTAGATAAACTCACAAAAGGCCTTCCTGTGGCAGTGCTTGCTACACTTTTCAAAACGATCATCATTTGTGTGTTGGTCATTAATTTACTGTTGCCTTCTATCAAAGCTTCCCTTTGCCCTAGGTTTTCCCTGCCTCTCAGTAATAGTTTGGTTAGATTTCATGCTCTGGGATTCAGAAAGGCCTGAAGTGTGTTTTTAATGCTGTGTCTTTGTTGGGATTTGCTCTATATCCATTAACTTAAGCTGCTGTTGCAGGTTTGGGCACACAGTGGCTTTGCTGCTGGATCTCTGTGTCCATTTGCAGGCAGTGTCCATGCTCAAGGTGGCAACAGAGCTGCTTTTTCTCTCTTGGTGTGCATCAGGAAAATGTCTCCTGTTTTCAATTGTCAGCAATGGGTCTAACACTAATTTAGTTTAGAAGAGAGACATGTCCAGCAGCATTTCCTGCTCTTCAAGCCAGTTTTGAGCACATTTCTGAAAGTGGCTGGGTGCTGCCTGTTCTTGTCAGCCCGGGGGTCTGTGGCTGCTCTGCTCCTTGGCAAGAGAGAGCTCCTCTCATGCAGATGGAGTTTCTTTGGGATTGTTAAAGCAGTGCTGTTTGTCAGTCAGCAGACCTATAGAATCTGTTCCAGAGGGAAGTATTTCTGAACTTTTTTTGTGTTTTCTGTTACACAGTTTTCCATATCACAAGCACCTTGCTAGCATAACTATAGGCTTGCATGCTCACCTCCTTCGTGTTCCTGGCCAAGCAGGGGAATCAAAGGACTTGGGGAGCAAAGAGGGAGAAGCTCAGGATCTCACAGTGGCCCTCACTGGCTTCAGATGTGATACCAGCCACCTTTTGAATTTGAGTTCAGGGATTGGATTAGGGTGTCAGCTTCCTGTGTAATGAAATGATTTTGTGTGTGCATAGGGAGGAAGTGTAGGAAGATGGAGACACCCCTTCAAGGAGCTGAGTTAATGAGTGAAGTTAATTAGTGGCTTGATCTTATTTAATAGCTTGTTGCTTCCTGAAGCCAAATTTGTCGTGTTTTCTTCTCCCTTTCCTTGCTCCCTGTTCTTGATACTACAGTCCAGCAGCTTACCTTGTGCCCTCTGATGCTCTGGTTATCCAGAAAACCAACTTAGAGTTGCAAAGAGGCAGGAAATTAGCCCAGGATGTTCTGTGGGTCCTTTAAAGGGGGAGTGAAGGAGGTTTCTGCCAGACCCATTAGAAGGTTTCTGTGGATTAGGCAAACACCAGACCTGGAGCAAAGGAGGAGACAGGGTCATGCATTTGGGGTAGAGGATGGGAAACATGACTTCTCCTTTTGGTGTCGGGCTATTAAATCAATGTTCCTGATGAATACAGCCCAACGGTGGTGATTCACAAGAAGTTAATTCCTTGCTCTGAATCACTCCAGAGAAGCTGATCCCTCTCTGCTCAGTGTGGCCTGAGGAGACTAAGATTAGGTTTTGCAGCCTAATTGATTTTTGTTTATCTGTCCCTTCCTCTAGGTAAACTGAAATGGTCTGTATTTCCCCAAATGTAAGAGTTAATCTCCAGCCATTTCCTTGGAAAAATCAGAATTAATTATTTGGGAGCTATGTTCTGTCAGCTCTATTTGAATTATGTATAGATGTCAGTTGTTTGTATTTTAAGTGTATTCGTCTTTTAATTTGAATAAATTATTTTTTTCCATTTCAGTGATATTGATTTAGTTGTGTTTGGAAAATGGGAGACATTACCTCTTTGGACCCTGGAAGAAGCTCTTAGAAAGCACAATGTAGCAGATGAAAACTCAGTGAAGGTTTTAGACAAAGCAACTGTAAGTTTGGGGGAAGAGGGTATTCCCTTGTTTTAAGCTAAATTTCTAATCCAAGAAAGATGTTGGTTAAAAGAATTAATTTTTATAAGCAGAAACTATTTCGTATATTAAACTTGAAATAGAACATAAAGAACTTTTTTATTTAGTATGATTTTTATTACTGACAAAATAATTGATAGTGCAATAACAAAAGCATTTTTTTCTGTTGTGGAAATTGTCTGATATTTCATATGCACAACATGTTGCTTTTAAGAGAGATTGGACTAGTCAGTGTTGTACATTGATGTTTTTAAACTAGTGCATTTCTGGACTGAGTTTTTACATAAGTAAATAATTTTTTTTTTCTTCTTGCAAGTAAGCAGGTATAATCAGTTTTCACAAAGTACTAAGTACAGCCTTGTGTAAATAGGTAGTGATATGTCTTGCAAAAAAATAGATTAATTCCATTATAATTTCCTACCTTCCCTACCTGTAAGAATTGTAAGAGTATTGGGGTATCTAAGTTATAGCTATTATTATTTGAGAGAGGTAAATTGGCCATCAACTCAGGTGGAGACACATCCGAGTACTCTCCATATCTCGTACTTCTTGGTTGAAGTTAATTTTGGTGAGGAAGTGATGATCCCAGTGACATGAATTGTGTAATTTCTGATGTCTCCAGGACTATTTCTCTGTGTTTCTCCAGTGTTTGTCTCCCTCTGGTGTCTGTGGTCTCCACCAGAGCTGAGCTGCTGCAACAGCAACTCACCCAAACCAATCCAAAATAAATTTCCTGGAAGGTGAAGCATTAAGTTCTGTTCAGCAGGACAGTAAATTGAAAGTAGCATTTATGAGTTGGAAAAGCAAAGTTTATGTAAACAGATTGGCAAGGCAAGTGAGTTCATAAATAGGAGTCCTCATTTCACTGTCTACTTCCTCTCTATAAATTCATTAAAAACTTCAGGTTTGCTGGTGCATATAAGTTATAAATGAAACCAAGTGTGTCTTGGAAATCTGCATTGACTTATTGTATCTTTCTTTTGCAGGTACCTATTATTAAACTGACAGATTCCTTCACTGAAGTAAAAGTTGATATAAGCTTTAATGTACAGAATGGGGTTAAAGCAGCCCAGCTCATCAAAGATTTTATCAAGGTTAGGCAACACTCTCATGGAACTACATGCTGAGTATTTGATAACTTAATTCTATTTTCTGTTTTACTTTGACTGCATCCTTACTAGAGATACACTTTTACTCTGTTGTTTTTTGTTGTCTGATAATGCTGAGGAATGTTCTTAAGTTGTAGATATATTGCCTTAAAAGGCATGAAGACACTAAAATACAAGAATAAAATGTGGAGTAGTTTTAATGGTACAATGATTAAGAAAAATTCAGTAATCTCTGTTTTAAGTGTTCTGCCCTTTTAACTGCAGTTCATTGAGCTAGGCACTTCTGAATTTCAAGATGGGAGATAGTGAAAGCCTGAGGGCTTTTTTGGTGTGAAAGCACAGAAAATCAAGTTGCCTGGGTTATCTGTGACCCTTTGGCCTTGGGTCAGGGGGTGAGAGGGGTGTGTGCCCCTGGGGAGGGGGCAGGAGCTGTGCCTGGCACAGGGACAAGGCTGCAGCCCCATGGTACCCCCAGCCCAAAGAGCAGAGCGGGTCTGGTGCCAGTAGCTGGAGTCAGCTCCCAGAGTGGCCTGTGCCTGGCAGAGAAGTGCCAGTGAGGATGTCCAGGCTGTGGGTAGGGTCAGGATTGGGGTCAGGATCATCTCCAGTGCGGGGCAGCATGGATCAGGCTGACAGTGCAGGGAAGCAGCTCTGGAGCAGAGTGGAGGCACTCCCCACTCCCAGCAAGGTTTCCCACATGGTGCTTTCCCACATGGCTGTTTTCCCAACAGGCTGAGCCAAGGCTGTGCAGCTGTGCCACACCACAGCTGGCCGTGAGCACAGCAGCTGAGGAGGAGGTGGCCAAGGGCCGTGCTGCTGTGGAGGGTCCTTTGTTTGACTTGGAGAAAACTTGGCATGTTCTTGCCAAGTGACTTCGTTGGTGTTCATGAGGCACTCTCTATATAACACTTGCAGAGCATTCTCTTGGGTCTTATTTTGTCCCACATAACTTCAGTACCTAGTTGAGATATCATATTTGGCATTATGCTTGGAAATGCCTCTTTATCTTCATCCAGGTTATTTAGGAAGTCTGAGGCAGTTGGAGCCTTTATCAAGGGTATGCAGTTTTCTGAGAAAAATCCCATCTTGACATTTTGGCATATACTGATAGTCAACGCTTCAGCTTGTGACTGGAAGTTCTAAATAGTTAAAAATCTTCAGTTAGATAGTTAGGGATCTTCAGTTAAATAGGGCTCCCAATACTCACCATAAGGCTCGTGCAGAGAAGTTCTTGACAAAATTCTTTCCCCTTAATCTTTTTGCAGTCACAGACATCATGATCCATATTTCATATGTGACACTAAGGAACTTTTTGGCTCTGTGTTGATAAAAGCAGTGCCCCTCCCCTGTGAGGGGTGTACAGAGTGCAGGTATAGCCCAGCCTCCACTGCTGTCCCAAAGGTCTGTGTTCACCACACCTCTTAGGGGAATTCATGCAGATAAGCCCTTTAAAGGACCAGTTACCCAAAGGTATTTTGCTTGTCTGAAAATGTTACCTGGGTGTAGTAATTTTGAAGGGCTTTCTTTAACTCTGGGCATCTGAAGTACTTGCAGGACAGAAATCTCAGTGCACTTTGAGCTACCTCTTAATTGTAGCAAGTAGGTTTTGTTACAGATGTCGGTATTTCCACAGTTGTTCCTTTGCTATATTTCCACTTGTGTGAGAAAAAAATATATATATTCAACGCAAATACTCCTGATTTTATGGTGTAATAACTTTTTTCTGTTGTTAATATCTGCCACCAGAGTTAAACAGGTAAAATACCTGTGTTGATCACAGGCAGGACATTGGCTCTTCTCCGCTGGTACTAAAAATGATAAGTAAATTTATAGTTAACTTAAGATAAAATATAGTAAAACAGATAGTTTCAATATGCTCTCCACTGTATGCATAAATCACAGTATTGTAACAGCTTTGTTTTTGTCTTTCAGAAATATCCTGTGTTACCATTTCTAGTTTTAGTATTGAAACAGTTCCTGTTGCAGAGGGACCTTAATGAAGTATTTACAGGTGGAATTGGTTCTTACAGTCTCTTTTTAATGGCTGTCAGTTTCCTTCAGGTAAGTTCAATGCAATCTGTCAATGCCATTGGTGCCTAAGGACATCACCTTAAGAAGGAATTTGATCAACTCTCAGATTTAATCATTTAAGCTATCATTTTTTGGGGGTTGCACCCCCTTTTCATTTAATATTAGGTATGTCCCATCTGTCTTCTGTTCCTTCTCTGATGCTGATACTTTTGGTACCAAAGGTGTTTGGAACATCTGTTAGTATATCAATGCCAGGCACTGATACATACGATTTTGATACACATGATATGCCATGTCATTTATAGTAAAACAACTTGAATTTTGAGTAACCTGCTTGGAACAAGTTCCATAAGGTTGGTGTTAGCTGCAGCTGTCCTTTGTAACACTTGGTCTCCAGGTCCTGTATGTGCTTTCACAAATCCAGTGTAATTTTGATTCTCTGGGTTTCTAAGATGATGTCAAACAAACGTGTTTTACAACTTTCTCTTAAATCTAACAGAACAAAATGCATGAGCCAAATCTATATTGTTATGCCTGGGAGAGGGAAATACTGAACAAATATGAAGTAGCTGATTTCTGGCTGTATCAGCCTTGTTCTTTTTCCTGAACTAAATGTTATGTATAACTGAGTTTACAAGTGTATGTCTACTTTTTCAGACTGTAATTACTCTTAAAACCTGAGCTTGGAACTGGAGCTCAGTGTTTGCTGAGTGCCTTTGCAGTTCCCTGCTGACCACAAAAGAAATAAGGGCAACATACATATAGTTTAAAACTAAAAATATCTCCTAATCTATTTTTTTTCTTATGTTGAGTAACAGCACTTCCATTTGCTCAATGAAAAAATAATTAAAAAAAAAAAAAGTTTCATATCTGTTACAACTCTGAGCTGGCTATGTTCACTCAGGCTGCTTACTTAGCAGTAGAGGGGATCCTGTATATAGCTGTGAACATGAGAATTCTGTATTTGTATGGCAGACCCAGGTTTGTGAGGTGCAAATATCTGCTTTTGCACAAGAACCCTGCCATTAGTGCTGGAAGTTCACTTTTTGCACTGAAAGTTCAACTGCAAAAAGATTAATGCTTGACAGCCTATTTTTGAAGAGGTATTTATTTTATAAAAGCTGTCCTAGCATCTTATTTTAAAGATGCAAAACTAATTTAACAAGGGAAAATAATTTATTTAGACATATCTGTTTTATTATTTTATTACTGTATTTAAACATGTTTTCTGTGAAAAAGAGAAGAACCTGAAGTCTTAAATGAATGAATTTTTTTTCTCTCTTCTTAATAGCTGCATCCCAGGGAAGATGCCTGTATGCCCAATGCCAACTATGGTGTTCTTTTAATAGAGTTTTTTGAATTATATGGACGTCACTTCAATTATCTGAAGACTGGAATCCGAATAAAGGATGGTGGCTCTTATGTTGCCAAGGATGAAGTGCAGAAGAGCATGTTGGATGGCTACAGACCATCAATGCTGTACATCGAGGATCCATTACAGCCAGGTATCCTCAGAAAACAAAGTGGAATAACAGTACTATTAAATGTTTAATAGATGCACTGCAGGATTTCTTTTCTCTTCATATATTGTACTTGTACCCAGAGAATTGCAGGTTTGGGCTTCTTTACATCGAAATCCCTGTAGACCTTTTAAGCTGTTTATGCTAAAGAAATATATTTAAAAAAATACATAAGACTTTTATAAATCATAGAATTATAAATATATAAATATGTAATATATAAATATATAGCGTAAAGTATAAGTATTTATACTTTATGCTAATCCTGTGGCTGCAGTTAGTTGGGATTTAAGGGCAATTTTTAAAACTGATTACTGTCTCCAGCCTGAAAGTTGATAACAGCAGTTTCAATCTTATTCATTTATTTATATGCTTATTTTAAGGTAATGATGTTGGCAGGAGTTCCTATGGTGCCATGCAAGTGAAGCAGGCTTTTGATTATGCCTATGTTGTTCTGAGCCATGCAGTTTCCCCAATAGCTAAATATTATCCTAACAACGAAACAGAAAGGTAAAGTCTCCAAGTCTACATCTCAGACATTCATTGCTTATATTTTTCTGTGTCTAAAAATTAATTGTGGTGATGGTTTTGGTTTTTTTTCCCTGATTTGCAGTATATTAGGGAGAATAATTAGAGTAACACAAGAAGTGGCCACATACAGAGACTGGATATCCAAGCAGTGGGGAATGCAAAGCAGAACAGAATCTTCATGTAATGGTGAGTTTTGACTCAGCAGGGCTGAGGAGGGAAACTTCCTGCACATTTTGCTTGTATAGATTTTTTTGTTGCTTTTGCCTCACATAAGTCAATGTGTGCATCTTAATAGCAGTCTCTTTTTTTTCAGTATTCCTATCTTTTTATCCAGAAAAGTTAGATTTGTACAAGAGTAAAATGTCCCCATCTTTATTGTAGTACAATAGATTTACTTAGTAGAGAGGTCTCTAAAGAGTGCTGCCTTCCAAGAAGACTTGGGAAAAACTTCCAATTTAAATTACCACACTGTCAGTGTCACGCTTCCTTTGTCCTTTAAATGTGGACAAGATTTTAACAAGAATTACTGGGCATGCTAGTTTCAGTCTGAATCCTTAAATTCTGCATTTTTAATATTAATTTTAAAGTCTAATGTACTGTATCTGTAAGGAAGTAATACTTGAGCCAGGATTCACTATGTAAGTGAAATAATTTTTAACAAATGGAAACACACAAAACCGATCCAGAGAACTTGGTAATGCCCTTTGGAATCACCTTTAATCCATTGCCCATCTTCTGACTTCAGCAGCCAGTTGCCACCCTCTTTTGGTGCAGGTGTATCTGCTGTCTGGAAGTTTTCAAACTAGAATTAATTTTCATACTCTCCAGTTAATTTTAGAATGTTTCCTGTCAGAAGTGTTCTCTTGTTAGTGATTAATCAGAGAAGGTGTTTCAAGGACCCGTTCTTTTGGCTAGGCTGGGATTTTTTTTTTACTTGTTTTTAGAAGTTGTCTGAGTGATTTGTCAGCTGGATGTGCTTTGTGCCACTGGAGCTGTCAGCCTGCAGGCCCTGGTGGCCCTGCTGTCCCCAGGAGTGGCAGACAGCCGGTGCCTTGGTCCCAGGAGCTGCCATCACCTCCCTTTTAGCTGCCTGTGTGCATGGACATTATGTAAATCTCTACCTCCTAAGTGTCATATTTCAGATAAAATGGCAATCAAAAAAAGAAAACTAACCCTGTATTAAGGAAGTAGTGGTGACAGTAAGAGTGATTGTCTTGTTGATTTAGTTCAGATTTAAGTTCCAATTATTTTTTTTTTTAAGGCAGAGCATAGTCAGATATGAGAGATACCTTGAATTTTCAATGCAAGAAATCCTACAAAGCATTGAGACTTATTTGGAGTTCTTCTGATCCTAGGAGCTCCAAAAAAAGAAAAATTTGAGTTGCTGAGTATTGGGCATATAGGAACAGAATTTAAATCTATGTATTTGAGTGCTGTAGAAGCACAACAGCACATCTGAACTTTGCTACTGCCTTCTTCCACATCTTCTGTCCCTAATTTCCATCTCAAGCCATGGGCAGTGCTCACTGCATTAATGTTGATGTCCACGTGTTGCTGTGGATGTAACATGTATTTTATAACTTAGGGGCTATATTAAAAAGCCCAAGGCAACATATTTTTGCATTTAAATATGTGGTGATGCTTCTGTTTTGTTTTTACTAGGTAATGGAGTAACCTTGATAGTAGATACTCAGCAGCTGGACAAATGCAACAATAATCTTGCTGAAGAGAATGAAGCACTGGGAAAACCTAGAAATAAAACTTCAGAAACACTTAGTAAACATTCTTCAAATTCTTCATCAGGTCCTCTATCATCATCATCATCTACACTGTCCAGCTCTAGTGATGTAGTAAGTACTGGAGGTTTTATCACTATGCTTTTTAAAATTTCTTTGGGTTTTTTTTTCTCTGATTTCACAATGCTAGTCAATTAATTCTTCCAGAATCCTAATTTGCATAAGATGTTAACTCTTATGCAATTTCTACACATACAAGTTGCAGTGTGTTTTTGACACATGTAGAAAGTGAATATATAGACACAAAGTTCCACAGCCCTCTTTTCTCTGGGAAAACTGTATTTCAAAAGTAAAACAGACTGGTAGTCCTAAGCCACATGCTTTAAAGAACAAACAGACCAAAAGCTTTGAAAAAGATCTGTTTGCAAATTTTATTTAAAAAATAAAAGGCAAATCTCAAAACTAGAATCACACATCAATACATCTTTAAATCTGTTTTATTTGATAAGAATTCTGGATTGCAAGGATTTAATATCTAGTAAAATAAACAAGTTTTCAGTTTTGTCCACTGTTAACTTTATTTTTAAAAGAACATTCACTTTTAGAAATACTCACTCTTAAGAAAAGCTCACTAATCCTTTACATTTTCCTGAAGGATTCTGATGGAACACCTTGCAAAACCTCTAAACAGTTGAGTTGTCGTCAGTCTACCACAAACAGAGTGGGGTCACAAGAAGTGTCACTGGAATCCTCCCAGTCAAGTGGGAAAACACAAAATAGCCAAACAGCCAATACATCCAGCAACACGAACAAATCTCAGGTTTGTGAAATGTTTGAAAACGACTGTGTAGATTATTTGAATATTACACATATCCCCCCATAAAAGGCTAACTTGTTCTGAAAAGGGAACACTGCATTTTTCACCTTCCTTTTTGCCCCATTAAAAAGCTTCCAGCACTGATTGTGTCTAAAGCCACCTGGTTCTCTGTGAAGCTTGCACAGATGAATTTGTAACTGTGGCTTTCCCAGCTTTAAAACAGATGAAGTTGTGACTTGTACACCAAATTTGCCAGACGTATACGGCTGTGTTGCACCCATTTCCTCCTTCGCAAAAAGCACATCAGTCCAGTTTTGATTGCAAAATTTGAGAAATGGGGTGTGCCTACACTCTGTGAAAGCAGTTAACAAAAATGTGTGTTTAAAACTCTGACTGGCTGCTGTTTTAGCTGTTGATACTTGTTGATCTGTCTTCCACTAAGGGAGGTGAAGATTCTTTGTCCTACATGACGTTGCCCCTCATTTTCCCCTATGGCCAAACATCCTTATGATGACACCTGTCAGAGCTTATGCATTTAGGAGATTTCCCACACTGAGGAGTGCTTCTATGGCAACTCAGTATTTCTGGAAATATTCCATGCCTCTATATATAATATAACCTGGATACATGCAGTTTAAATTCTTACACTTTTTCAGAAGTTAGATCTTTTATGTTTGAAACATAGTCCAGAACCTTCTGGAATACTTTCCTTGAAAATTATTCTGAAGACATGCCATTTTATTTGCTGATGATCTGTCTTCTAACAAGAGAACTCAAACACCTGGCCTTGGCTATGCTATGAGCGTGTGTTTGTGTTACTGGGCAGAACTAATTCCAGGCTGGAATGTGCATGTCCATCATCTGACATACCCCATCTCTGAAAAGATGTGGCATAAGATCAGTCCTGGATCAGATGTGAGTAATCTTCCTGTGTTGTCTTGGGATATGGACATTTCTGTAAAACACCTTTATAGTTTCCAATATTCTGAGTACTCTGCTTCTCTCTCTGGACCTGTCTGGGGCTAGAGATGAGCATTTTTTTTGCAACCACCCAAATGGGAGATTGGCACTGCTATCTCAGCAATGTCCAGGTTTCTTCTGCCATAGCAAGTTTTCCAGGTGTGTTGTTCTCAGGAGTCAGCATGCCCGTTGTGCAGAGGCAGGGATGTGTGATTGCCATGCTTTGTTCCCTCGGGCAGGGATTGACCATCTTCTCTTTCCCCCACAGCATGGATCTGCACGGTTATTTCGCTCTTCTAACAAAGGCTTCCAAGGTCCAACAAACTCAAGCCATGGTACCTCAGTCACAAACAAACAGCACCAAGGCAGCAAATCACACCATCAGTTTTTCCACGGCAAAAAGAGGAAACACAAGAGGGATGCAGCCCTGTCAGACCTTTGTAGATAGTTGCCTACTTTGACTGTTCTTCTGTGTGCAATGATCTCATGCTACAGGATAGTTTGATAGTGACTCCTTGGATCTCTTCTGGAGCTTCAGACTGTTCAGACAAAAAAAAAAAAAAACATAAAAAAAAAACAAAAAAACAAAAAAAGAAAAAAAAAAAAAAAAAAATGCAAAAAAAAAATAAAAAAAGAAAAAAAGAAAAAAAAAAAAAAAAAAANAAAAAAAAAAAAAGAAAAAAAACTGGAAAAAAAAGAAAAAATTAATTTTTTAAAATGAGGAAAAAGGCTGCTCATTTGATAAGTCATATGCTACAACAGGGTCATTTAGGATATAAAAGCTTGAATGTAAAATAAATGTATTTCCCATCAGCTCATGCTGACCTGTAGAGATAGTACTCAGTGTGTCTAGGGGGTGGTAACAAACAAAACACAAAAAATAGGAAAAAAAGGCAAAAAATTGTATTTTGAGGGAAACCCAGCCTTTAAAGGTGAAAGTAATTTGTGCATGATTTTTTAATTATTTTTGCATATACTTACCATTTTATTGTGTATATATAGATGACCATATAGGAAAACTGACATTTGTAATAGTGGATTTGTTAATACTTTTTACATAACATTACTGTTTAAATTGTAAACATAAATTTTTCTCAGGATTAGTTTGGAAAATAATCTGAATTGTCATCTTAACATCCATATAAAGAGACATTACTAGTTATATTGCTCAGAATTTCTTTTCTTGGCATTTGGAAGATCTCATAGAACTTCTGATCTGCAAAAGCTGTTCCTCTGAAAGAAAGGTTTATGGTGGCAAATGAAGATTTTCATTTGTGTAAAGTGTACATGTACTTTGTGTAGACACTGAGCTTGTCATCTCTGAGACCTTCACCTTGTTTTCTAGAGTGCCATCATTTCAGGCAATGGGGTTTTATAGTTGCATCCTTCTCTTCCTCCCCTTAGTGGTCTCTCCTCGACACTTCCTTCTTTTTTTTAAAGAAACAACAAAAGGCCATTTGGGGTTTGTTTTGGTTTTTTTTGTTTTGTTTTCTTTTTTGATTGATGGTGGTGATTGTTTTCTTTTTTTTTTTGTTTAAAAAAAAAACAAAACAAAACTCAGTTTGTTACAGACGTTTGCATTCCTGAGCTGCTTTAATCCCATGCCTCCTTGTTTGTGCCTTTCCTCCCCCTTCCAGGTCTGGGTTTTTTTGTCTTTTATATTTTTGCTAACTCCTGTAGGAGATGATAACTGTTGAAGCTTTAAGTAAGTTTTACAATTAAAGTATTTTTTTCTCACCCCCCTCTTAGGCATTTTTATATATACACTTAATTATTAAAAACAAAACAATTTCAAATAATGAAGTATACTTTATATTGCCTTAAAGACCCAAACCTTTCATATCTTATGATATTTCTTCACTGACCTTGTTCTCATTTCATTGAAACTCCACATATATGTGGTTCAGTCACATCACAAATCTAGGTTGCAGTACCTTTGATGCCATGAATGCGAATGGAATGGAAAATTGCACTCTCAAGCATAGTTTGGAACAGGATTGGGACACTTCAGTGGTAGAGAGTTTAGTGGCATTTACTTTCACATATTTCTGTAAAGAGGAGAGTCTGTACTTGGTGTGCCTGGCTGTATTAAATGCAGCAGTTCTGAGATGATGCTTTTATAAAAAGTACTGCTAGCTTTGAGAAACTCATTTTATATACATTTACAGAATACTACAGACCAACCTGACCTTCATGGGCACTAATGAGTGCAATGATTTTTAAAGTAAAATGAGACCGAAACCAATGTCATCACTTAAATTAATAAACATTTTCAATGTGTCAAAAGTGTTTTACTTCAAAAAGGAAAATATATATATATTCCAAAAATACAGCAAGTCATAACATTTACTCCAACACTAAGCTTAAGTGATGTTAATTTGACAATTTTTTTTAATTTTTAGAGTCATATTTTAATTTGAGCAGATAATTTTATCAAGATGTTCAGCTTTTCTTCATAGAAACTAGTGAAAGTTGTACCACATTATGCATAGTCACTATTTATTTTGTTTTAGATTATTGTGAATGTGTAGACTTATGTTCACCGCTTAGGGAACAATTATTTATAAATTATATTAATCCAGTATTGTTAGCTGCTATTAGCAAAACTGTTCCAAAACTTAATACTTGCAAAGATCTGTATCGCATTTACCACACTGAAGTGTTTAAAAGAATCACCCTCATTGTTGAAAGCAAATGTACTCCTAGGGTGCAGATATTAGTGTTCCAATAAGCATGTGATAATTTTAAGGTGGTGGTAGCGGGAAGATAATCTTGATTCCATTGGGAATCTTAGGTTTGCCTCAATTTATGGTTTTCATAAATTTAATGGAAAAAAGCTTTTCCTGGACTGCTCAAGTTTCTTTTTGGTAAACAGTATCTTTCTAAAAAAAAAAAAAAAAAAAAAAAAAAAAAAAAAAAAAAAAAGAAAAAAAAAGAAAAAAAAAAAAAGCATGAAGGAAAAATTGAGGTATTTTACATTGCCTCAAATGACCAGCATTGTATTCATAAAATACTGTATATCTTGCAAAACTTTATTTAAACGGAACAGTTGAACTGTTCGTTTTTCAATCTGAAGTAAAATACTTTCAAGACCTTTTAGTTTGCCTGCTCATTTGTCTTGTACATTTCATCTCTGTATTTGACTCAAGTCTAATTCCTTTTTGAGTTTCAATACTTTTGTGAAGATTTTGTGAATATATGAAAAAAATAAATGTTTAATCTAACTACTGCAGTTTATCACCATTCTTGACACCCTGTCTTCCCCTTCACAGCACTGTGGAAAGAATTACTCGAGTAACATTTTTTGTAGGATCAGGGTCCTTCCCCAGCTGAGTCCTGCGCTCCTCTGCCTGGAGTTTGGAAGCTGATTTTGTTCAGGTGGCTCTGGTTTGCTGGTTTTCCTTTCCTGGTTTTCCTGGAGCAGAGTATGTAAGCCTGAGAATAAATGGAAGATAATACATGTGTAAAGATTTCTTAATGTATGATTTTTATCTAATTTTCATCCTCAAATACATAGGAAACTTACAGAATTATCCATTTTCTTTGTCTTCTGAAATGGCTGTGGGGTTGTGTTGCAGCTGCAGGGCAGCAGCTGCTCAAAGCTGCCCTGCTGAGGGGGTTGTGTAGAACTATGCAAGAGTTAATGGGATTTACTTCCAGCTAAAATCTGTTCCGCAATTCCTGAAGCACAGCTGATGTCACTGAAATGTGTTCTTCTTGTCCTTCCCTGGGAGATGTGCACATACTTGCAGGTTCGGGTAGTTTTCCTTCTGGTAGTCTACTGCAGACCATTGGAAATAATAAATACACTGAAATGTTTGTATATTTTCCTGTTTGGTATTAAATTGATTTGCTGAGACTTAATTGAAAAGAAAATGGATCAAATGGTGTTTGTAGTTAAAAATCTGTGTATTTGTTAATTGACAGTCTTCTCCCTTGTGGCAGAAAAGAAGCAGAATAGTAGGTAAATCTTCCTGTTTATGAGCCATAACTTCTGTTTTGTCAGAATTTACAGCTCAGATTTTTAAATACTAAAACCAAACTTGTTTTCCTAGAATTAAATCTTTAGAAAATAATTGTAGCCCAGTGGCTGGTGATAACTTTTAAAAATGTACTTTCAAAATGGACCTTTTCCATTTCATGTCTGGAATCATCGTGAATATGTCCTAAATATAATGTGAGCAGCTGGTTAGAAAATAGTCTTACCTGGAAAATGTATTGTAAATAAGTGCAACCAGCCATTTGACATCTTGATGAATGATAAAACTCATGATAGATCTTAACACAGAGTGTTTGACTTAACTTCATTTCCTAAAGAGTAAAAGCCATAGGAGATGAAGTGTATAATTACTCAAGGATGGAGTATATTTACCTATTTAGAGATTGTAACAAAAAAGAAATTAATTCTTCCAGCTACTGTTAAAGGGGAAAATGTAATTATTCTGCTGATTCCTAGAACTTGATTCTTTTGCTTAACAATGCAAAATAATTTTCTAAGAGTCAAGTTTAGTATGTCTTAAAACTTTTGGTCTTCAAAGTGCAGATTTTGAGAGCTTTATATTCTACCTAATTTCTTAATGCTTAATTTCTTCATGGTTGCAGATTTTCCTGTACCAAAGTACTCTTAGGCTCTTCCCCACAGTAATTTGCTCTGAAGCCTAGTGAACTAACCTTCAAAGTTGATTGTTAGGATGTTTGAGATGACCCCAGGGAAAGAAATATCCAACACCAAGAATCCTTTGCAAGTTACTTAATGTCCTGAATAACACAGGAATTAAAATTGAAATGGCTTTATTGAGTCTTTACAAGCCCAAAGCTTCTCTCATATAACCTGCTTGAAAAGAAAATAGAAAGGAAAGAGGCAGAAGGTGGCTGTTACTTGGCCATGGTAATGCTAGATCAAATTAATGTGCATTTTGGTTAACTCTAAAATTTAGATCAGTTATTTCTGAAAAGTTTGAATTCTTTGTGTACTTTGTGGTTGGCCCACCATGATCATTTTAGTAATCTGTGGACAGCAAAAACTTGTAAGAGAGAAGTGTGGTGCCTCTGTTGGGCATCTTGGCCATGCTGTTCAATGGGGCGTTCTCTTGGCAATAGCCAGCTCAGAGGTGGCCAGTTCCCATTTGTTCCTTCTTGTAGCAGTGCAGGATATGGATGAAACTGGGCAAGAAAAAGAATGAGAATTTTATTTTGATGTAAGTTAATTGTTGAAAGCTGATGGAATCCTGAAAATCATTTAAGTACACCTATAGTAGAGGAAGATGAAAAATCTTGGGTATCCTCTGCATAAAAGCCATTTGGAGGAATGCCATCTTTCTGCTTCCAAGATGTATGGAAGTGAGGTGCTCTGGGGATTCTGGTGGGTCCCTTTGCTCAGCCATTGCCTGGGGGATACAAATGATCTCAGCAGTGACTCTCTTGAAGGTGTCTGCTCTGTAGCAGATCTAAATAGCTCTTGGCATTTGAAACTTGATGCATTGCGTTTCCTAATCCTTTTTCAACTCTGAGCCCACCCCTTGTTTTTTGGTGCTAAATGTGATATGTATCAAATGCTGTCCAACAGGTTATGGTGAA